TATAACGTTATATTGATTTTGATTTGATATTTTTGACTTTGATATTTTGATTTATACTTTTTGATTTTTATATTTTTAATTTTTATATTTTTATGATATTAGTTTTATTTTAATTGTTATTTTTGATTTATACTTTTTAGTATTAGTATTTTATACTTTAGTTTAATCTTTCTTTGATTAATAGTGACTTCACTTATTAATTGTTATAAATCTATTGATTTATTTTATTCTTTTCTTTATATTTTTACTTCTTTTTCAAATTACTTTTGTAATTTAGACCTTTGAATATACAATATCTGTAGATATTGGCACAGACCTTAGAAATCTTTGCTAATATTTATAATTCATTCTCTTCACTTAAGTTTAATCGTCTCTCTTTTAATATCATATGCTTATAGTGATTCTTAGTGAAACTCACTATTCAAAATTGCTGTAACATTATTACAATTGTGAAATTTATCTTTAAAAAAATTATCTGTTAATATGAATATTACAATCAGATTAAGGAATGAAATTTATAATACAAATAATAGAAGAACTTACTGATAAATTTAAAATATAATACAAATACTTATTGCTATATCATCCACAAATAAATGGAATTATAGAATAATTTAATAGAACTTTATCAACAATATTACAAAAACTCACTATTAGTTTAGAAGAAGAATGAGATAATAATATTTCTGCAGTATTATTTGCATATAGAATATTACAAAATAATACTATAAAATATGAACTATTTTTTCTAGCATATGAAAAAGAAGCAAGATTACCAATAGAATTATAGTTTGAAATGACACTTAAAAAAGAAGTTACAATCAAAGAACAATTATTAGATAGAATATTTATACTTATTAATTATTTCTTAAATAAATTAATAATACCAAATGAAATATTAATCTGTCATAAAAAAAGTCTAAAGAAAGATATGATAAAAAAATACAGAAAATATGGAAAATAGAACAGTTTGAAATTAGACATAGTCTAATTTATAATATGAAATGACATATTGAATATGAAAATAAATTCAAGTTACAAGTAAAAAGAAGAATGATACTATATTCATGAGATCTATCAGAATAAAGCATATAAATTACAAAATCAACAAAAACAATTATTTAAAAAAATATTCAATGATATATAACTAAAATTATATCATGAAAGTCAAACTTATTTGAACTCAAAATAGTGATAGAATATATCGATCCTTTATAAAATTCTTTCTTAGATAGAATTCTTTTAAATTGTATCATAATACATTAACTGTTATAAATAGTTCATTTATTTTCTCTCAAAGTTTTTAATAATTTGATATATTATTTTAATAAATCTTTAGAATAGTAAAAAGATAAAAATTTAATAGTATTTGATAATTATTATATCTTATATTTTAATCAAATACTTGTTCATTTAAAAAATAAAAATTATATTTTTAAAATATTATTTTTACTAAATCAAATATCTTAATTTATTATATTTTTATTTATATTTACTTATTGTTATTCAAATACTTATTGCTATTCAAATTAATTTTAATACACTACATGTGACTTGATAATTAATAATTTTTTTTAGTTTTAAAAAAAATATATTTCAAGTATGCTGCAAGTAAAATATTCTATATTTAAAAATATATTACAATGAGAGTAGCACATATATATTATACTCTCAATAAAAATTGGAATTCAAAATATATATCTTATATCAAGTTCAATTTGAAAAATTACTTCATCAACAGATAAAACAAAAAATTTTAAATTTTCAAGTTCAATATTATTAAAATACATCTTTACTGTATTATGTATATCTTTATTATTGTTAAAATTATTATTTGATTATTTGATTATTTGATTATAAAATTATAATACTTAGTGATGGGAAAATATATTTAATTTAAGTTTCTCTTTTTAATTCTAATATTATATTATGTTCATCAAATCCAGTTCCTTGAATTTTTAATAGATTATTAAAAGTTTTTTCAAATTTTACTAGTTGATCTTCTACAAATATTAATATTACAATTTTAAAATCTAATTTTTGATTGTAATTAATATTTTCTGCTATTTCTAATAAAGATTTGGTTATGTGAATTGAAATATCATACATAATGTTCAATCTCTTTTTGAAATCTGTTTCATGTGTTCTTATTTTTTCTAGACATCTTTCAGGTTGTGCATTATGAAAGACAATATTGTTATACATTCTTTTATATAAAACACACTATATAAGAACATCTCTCTATAGAAACACAATTTTGAGAACAGAATAATTAATATTGATAATAAAAATAATCTCTTTATAAGAACAAACTCTCTATAAGAACTAATTTTTATGATCTGACCATGTTCTTATAAAAAGAGGTGACTGTATTGTGTATAATGAAGAAAGTAGAAAAGATTTCTGACATAAAGAACTTATAGTATGTGTCATCCAAATACTAATACCTGGATAAGATTACTGATACAAAAAAAACTGAAATTTTTATAGCATGCGATTCGTCAAACTCTTTTAATTTCCAATCTTTTTGTTTTTGTTGAATGATATACCATTTTTTTTGAATAAATATCAAAAGTCTATTAAAGAATTTCTGAATTACAATTAGAAATTCATGTCAGTATTCATTAAATGTTTGTGGCGTTTCTAATGACTTTTTTTGTAAATGAATTTCAGGCCATGATTTCTCATCAAATTATTAGGATTTTCTCTAATTAAGTCATAATACCTTTCCGAATCCTGAAGTTTGCAAAGATTAACTTTGTTTTAGCGTAATAATATTTTTAGAGCAAGAAAACTAGGTGATTGTAATAAAAGCTCTGACTTCGATTCATCTTTTTCAATTTTTGATTTTTTCTCAAAAAAGTAATAAGCTTTTTTGATAATTCTTTCAGAAGTACGTTTTTAATATCATCATTAGGAAACATTGCCATACTTTGTATCCATCATCCAATAAGCTCCAAGGATTTAGAAGGTTCATTTTTGTGTTGTTCAAAACATTTGATTTTTTTATTCCATCTTCCCTTGCGTTCAATAAAATGTCCACCCTCTGCTAAGAAACAAGAAGAACAGATATAATGCGCACGATTATTACTTAACGATCTCTGTGAAAAATTATTCTCTTTATAAACTGAACATTCCTCTAATCAATGCAAGGTGCTTGTAGATTGCGTCCTAAAATCTTCCAAGAATGTTTATCGCAACTACCTCTACTAAAAAAGTATTTATGTTTGTGACAGAATAGACAACGACGTCAATGGATCCCCTTTTATGAATTCCATCCTGATCAAAATTAAAGTGATTAGAGCATACGCCTAATAATTGTAAAATTTTATTTCCGAATTTATTTATTTTCTCATCTACAGATGCAAAATCCAATTCCACGTTCCTTGTAGTTGTTTGATCGGAAATACAGGATTGGAAACTTTTGAACTTTATCATTAATCGTATCGATAATTACACATTGATGATCAGGTTCTTCGACTTTTAAAGTAGAAATATCATCGTAATAATCAATATCTTCAGCTTCGTCAGTTGGTATTGTCCATACAGATTCCACTTCTGACTGATCGATGTCAGACGCCAACCAATCCACACTCGCTTCTATTTGTTTGTATTCATTTGGTGTCTGTTTGGTTAAGTCATAAAGTAAATTAAAAGTCTTTTCGTCGAAACACAGGTCAACATTATTGTAATTTGATGAGTCTATGTTGGCGTTGGTATTGGTAGTGGTGGTGGTTGAGTTCGGGGAATCAGGAACTTCGTCATCATAATCATAATCATCATAATCATCATCATCATTATCATCATTATCATCAAGAAGTTCATACTCTTTATCCGGGTCGTTGTATTCTAAACTGTCAGAAATCCCGTTAAGTGTATAATCCATGCAACGTGTATGGGTAAACTAGAAGCTATGATAATGATAAAGAAACTGGCTAAAAACAAAAAAAAACAGGATTTAAATCTTGCTACAAACTATGATACTATAAGTGTGAACACGTGTTTTTTTGCATTTGTCGCCGATTTTATTCCGAATTAGTTTCTTTAACGTTAACTCGATATGTCTCTATGAATAAAAGCTTTGAACCACTATCTAAGCGCACCATTTTTATTAATACTACTGGTCAAGTAAGTTGCAGAATTGCGAGAAGTTATAGAGCCAAGGTAGTCATTTCGAAATTTACATATTGGTCTTGAAATCCATTCATATCTATTAAAACATTTTTTTTGTAAATATCGATATGATGATTGATCGATTTTCTTACGTATACATGTACGCAAAATGCAATAAACATGACATGTTTTGATGTACATGTTCTACGTACGTATTATCGTCACACACAAATGCAAATACGTACATGTATTATGAAAAAAATTTGAATAAAAAGGATCGACACACAGAACAATCAGATCCTAAAAGTTATTGTTTTTGCTGCAGCGCGCGCTTTGCACTTGTGGATTATTCCAGTGTCGCTTCCTCCAGTACACGTTGACCAACTTTAGTAGTTCTCCCGCTTTTTTTGGT